TTTTAAGATTTATTTATTTTTGCCTGGCAATCTTGTCTGCTTCCAGTTTCCATGAGGATCTATATATGTACTGGTGGGAATAAAGGCTGAGTAGTGGCATTATTGCAGCCTTCCAAACTTGTCCCATTGTCTGGAGGCAAGGTTCCTCCGCCCAGGGCTTCCCTTCTTAACCGGGTGAGCCTTGCTAGTTTTGACAGATGGCCACCCTTTATTAAGCTCTTTGGGCACTCGTAGCAGGCAAATTTCTTCCCACTGGTGCATGTGTGTTTCTGTCTCTTTATCTCATCTGGATGTGCCAAGGGCTTCCCACAGCATGGCCAGGAACACAAACATGTCTCTTCGCTACGTGCCAGCTCCACGGTACTGGAGGTCGGAGGTCTTGCCATATTCTTTGGCACACCCCAAGGCAGCAAATGTGCGGTCTGTTTTCTTGCCAGGCTCTCCAGAGTCCCTCCCTCTGCTGTCTTTATAGTAGGGACAGATACACATGTCGCACTGGGTCTTCTGCCCAGCTTGGGGATAGGAATCAGGGCTGTTCTCTTTCCCACCTGATGTCTCATTATGTGTTCTATCTATCACCCAACCGATCCATGGAGGTCAAGGTGAGCTCTGTGATCAGCTGGAGCGTTTTCGATAGTCAGTGCAGGCTAGGAGATGGTTCTGCTTCCCCGGAGTACCCCAGACTGAAGTCAATCACCCGGAGGTTTGATGTGAAGGGGAGCTGGGCAGAATTCACACTGACCAGGCAGTTAAGGCAGTGGGTTTCTGGGGGATCTTGCTGCTGCTATTCTGCTCCAAGTAAAGACCCTGCGTTGGAGCCAAGGTGATTGTCTGAGCATTGGGTTCTAAACTTGGAGATTTTGCATGGCGTGGGGGTGGGGTGGGGAGGGAGTTCTGCTAACTGACACATTCCTTGACTCTCACTATCGGTGTCTCAAAGTTGGAGGTTCTGAAGAGTTTCCCAGGGAAATAGCTTGAGTTGTGAAGGTCTGCCCTGATGGTGGGCTGCTTGGGGGTCCTGAAGAGCTGTCCCCCCTAAACTAGCTGAGGGGAGTGGGGTTTGTTTTTTACTATGTCTGCAGGGTTCATTCCCTCTTTTGGCTGACTCCCTTGCAGTGAGCGTCCCAACGTCTGGTTCTCCCATATGTTCAGGTCATCAGGCTCCTGTAGCCCACTGACCTGGAGCATCCAGCGTTGAGAGCTGGTCCCTGATTATCTACTGGTAGTAAACTGCGTCACTTCCGTGTTGCTGGTGGCAGTGGTTGCTGAGTGCCTATCGACTTTGGTACAAAAGGAGCTGGAATTAGCATATGAAGACAGTGAGATGGCAGAACCAATGGAAGTCCCTGAGGTGACATGTGTGGGCTGCTCTCCTGGGATCCGAAGCTGCTGATCGTTACTGCCTGAGAACTGGGAGTCTGGGGAGCCAAGGTACCCTCTGAAACGCTGCTGACAGAGTAGTGACATAGCCCTTCCATTCAGGGCCACTGGTCCCCTGGTCACATACGGAGTCTGTCTGAGAGCGCTTCATTAGCCAGGCCTAGGACGGGGACGGGTTTGGCACAGCAGCGATGATGCCCCCATTTCTTTGATTCGTAGTCACCCATTGATTTGCAGCTGGTATGATCTTCATTTGACCAGGCCCATCCTGCTGCACTTGGGCCTCGGTGGCAGCAAACTGCAGCTGCCGGCTGTCAGCTCAGGAACCGTGGGACAACTTTATACTGAATATTTAGTCATCACTCTGGGTAGACCTGCCAGGACTTGCTACTTCTATAAGCCGGAGGTGGCAGGCCCAGCACACTGCCCACCAGACAGTGTGATTCTCGGAAGGCTCGCTGCCATTGCTGCTGTTGGTACCTGTTGCCACTGTTTCTTGGGGTCAGGAGTGGCCTCAGAAGAGTAAGAGGTGATCTGTCAGTCGTTGGCACCCTGTGAAAGTTGAGAGGCCGTGAGGGCAGGTTCACCTGTGCCTCTGACTGGCCAGATCCTGAGAGCTGTTGTTTGTACTGGATGGTTCAGTTCCGCTGCAGGTTGCTGCCAACAGAACCAAAGACGGCTGGGACTCCTGCACGCTGCCCCCACCATCGCCGCTACGTGAGCCCGAGGAGAAGGTGCCACCATGGCCACCAACACCTTTTCCCAATCTTCAACGCTGCAGTCACTTCTTTGATAGAGTGATCTTGGATGGTCATGGTGACAGTTGAGGGGTGAGTTCAAGAGGGTTGATCCAGAGGGAGGGGGTAGTGCTGATGAGGCAAGCCAACTTGTACCCCATTTCAGGAGGGGTGCTAAGCAGGAGGGAGCAACATGCCCAGATGAGACTTTAAAAAAAAAAAAAGGAAGGAATGAGCTGAAAGCTCTGCCTTGGTACCCACTGTGCTGCCTGTAATGTCTCTGTAGAGAAATCTCCAGACAAATTCTGATGTCCATGCTTAATAAAACTTCCAGTAAACTAGTCCCAGAGGGGGGCTCCGTCAACTTGACCAAAGGCATCTATAGAAACCCTAGCACATGCTGGTGATGGAGCAAGGACTTAACAAAGGTCAGGTCAGGAGTGAGGACCAAAGTTCAGTTCCCAGCACCCATACCAGGCAACCCCCAAGGCCACAATCCCAACTTCTGGGGATCCAACACTAATCTCTGTGGGGACCTGCATGCATGTGCACAAACCCATACACAGCATGTAAAGAAACAAAATAAAACTCCTAGATGTGTTGCACCTCTGTATACTGTTGATAACGATGCACAGATGTGCTGCTTTCTTTCATGTCTCATTTGCTTAACTCTGTAACGCTGTGTTGCTTTGCCTGTCTAAAACACCTGATTGGTCTACTAAAGAGCTGAATATCCAATATCAAGGCAGGAGAAAGGACAGGCGGGGCTGGGAGGCAGAGAGAATAGATAGAAGGAGAAAAAGGGAGAAGAGAAGATTAAGAAGTGAGAAAAGAAGGGGCCAACCACCCAGTCACACAGCCGGACTTGAAATTAGGAAGAAAGAAAAGATACACAGAAAAGAGAAAGATAAAAAGCCCAGAGGCAAAAGATTGATGAGAATGTTTAAATTAAGAAAAGCTGGTTGGAAATAAGCCAAGCTAAGGCCAGGCATTCATAGGAAAGAAGAAGACTCTGTATTTATTTGGGAGCTGGGTGGCGGGCCCCCAAAGAGCAAAACAACCAACAACACCTACTCTTTGAGTTCCCTAACTTTGACCTCAGTGGGGCCCGGATAGCTTTTGTCTCTGGGATTGCTGGGAGCCCAGGCAGACAGGTGTCCCACCTCCATCTGACCCTGAAAGACCCTCGAAGAGGACTTTCTCTCAGGAGGAGACCTCCCCGCTGCCAAGGAACAGGCCGAGACCAGAGACCATACGGATGCAAATCGCAAGAGGTTTATTGGGTAAACACAGGTACCTGCGGGCGGCAAGTCTTTTGGAGGACTTGCGCGCCTGCCAACTGGAGGGTGGGTTTTTTTATAGGGAAGAGCAAAAAGCAAGTTTACAGAAGCAAAAGCATGGTTATCGGAATGAGGCGGGGGCTTGAATGGTTTCCTCTCTCGGCATGGGTGTCAGCAAAAGTCATCCTGTTCCTATCTTATAGATATCTTTTTTTGCAGTCAACCTGCTTTGTTGATGTCCTATCTTATTGATATCCTGCCTTGCAGTCTTCCTATCTCATCCTGCTCTCTCTCAAGCACATGGGATGTTCTTACGAGAGCAGGCTGGCTGCTGCGGGTTTTGAGGAGGGGGTCTGTAGGGTCTTTCAACCCTTCATTTTCTCTATTCCCTTCACACTGCTCCACTTTCTGGAGCTGTAGTAGTGTCTTAGGGGAACACTGGCCAGATCTCCGGCTGATTTCTTTTCTTTTTATCATGGCAGCAATTTTTGGAAATGTCTTTTCTGTGGCTGGGGACATGTTATGTCTGGACCTACTTTACCCTTCTCTCAGGACTGGCGTGTGGGGAGGGAGCTGCTTGGCCTGCCCTGAAGACACCCCCAGCATCTCCTCTGAATATACACTCATCCTCTTGTTCCATTCGTGTCCCTGCGGTCTCCTATGGCAACCCTCCACCCTAGGACCGTGACCTCTAGCCTTTATGCTTTGCAGCCTGACTAGGGCCCAGCACAGAGTCCCCACAGTGTCCCCAGTTTCTCTGATTCCTCTAGTCCCGAGAGTCACAGCCCATCATATGGCCCCAGGAACATACCTGTCCACAGTGAAAGGGCAGGGTACTGTGTAAGGCACTGTCCCCAGCAGGTAGCACCATGTCCTCATCCTGGTCCAACACATCCCGGGGTCTGTAGGAAGCAGCAATGCTTCTCTGTCAATCATTTTGTCAAGAACTTCCTCTAGGTTATTCTGTACATAGCCAGTCAGGAAAACCAAAAAGCGCAGCGAAGTGACCCACCTTTGTAGTTCCAGTGTCCTGAAACCCAAAGCTCCCCACTGGTTTCCTGTGTACGTGTGTGAGGATGGGAGGGGGGGGGGACCTGGTCCATACAGCAGATCCCAGTAGGGCAGCTACTTCTCAGCTAATTCCAGGAGCAGGAGACAGTATGCTCCCAGCTCTAAGGGACCTTCCCAGGAGGGGACATAGTACAGTCACAGGGAGATGAGGGGCAAGGTGGGGACAATGCAGACATTGGGAAGAGGTGTTGTGGTTCTGGTGCCTGGACTCTGGTGTGAGTCACAGACCCCCTGGTGGCTTTGAAAAAAGTGGCCTGTCTCCAGAGCCCCAGACCAGTGAGAGAGGGAAGTGGGGACAGGGTGTCTCAGCCCAAGGAGAATACCAAGCAGGGCGGGTCCTCTGTGGGTGTTCCTTGTAGCACTTGGCTTTGTGACCAGTGGTGTCAGTTGTGAGGGGCACAGGTGTGGCGTTCCCAGGAGCCAGGTGCATTCTCGTACAGCTCCTCTGTCCTTGGACCGTGGGCCCAGCCATTCAGTCTCCCACACGTCACCAGGTCCTAGCTCAGCAGAACTCCCTGTAGGTCCCAGAGTGATGGCCAGTCTGAACGTATCCCTCTCTTTCTTTTTTGCCACCTGTGCCCTGTGTGAGGTGGCAAGAAGGGCATCTAAAGCCCTGCTCCCAGCAGGCACCTATGCTAACTTTTCCCGGGAGGCAGTAGGCGCAGCCCAGCTGGCAGCCTGCTGCCTCGAGTTGCGAGTGTTGGTGGAACTTGGCCCCTGGGCCGGGGGCTTCGGGCCCGACCTGTTGCTGACCCTGGTCTTCCTGCTCTTCGTGGTGCACGGGGTCACCTTTGATGGGGCCTCTGCCAACCCCACTGTGGCCTTACAGGAGTTCCTCATGGCCGAGGCTTCACTGCCCAACACCCTGCTGAAAGTGGTAGCCCAGGTCCTGGGTGCCCAGGCCGCCTGTGCCCTGACCCAGCACTGCTGGACCTGGGAGCTCAGTGAACTACACTTGCTGCAGAGCCTCATGGCTGTGGACTGCAGCTCCACCCTGCGCACATCCGTGCTGCAGGGTACACTGGTGGAGGGTGCCTGCACCTTCTTCTTCCATCTGAGCCTCCTCCACCTGCAGCACAGCCTTCTCGTCTACAGGGTGCCTGCCCTGGCCCTGCTGGTTACTTTCATGGCCTACACAGGTAAGACGGGCTCCACTTTTAGGAACTCAGCACCTTCATTGGTACCCTAAGGGGGGGGTCTGCTGACCAAGGGGCCCACAAGTCCTTGTAGGCACTTGTTTGGCCCCCCAACAAGGGGGTAGGGTCTGGGAGGCTAGGCCTGGGTTGTGTATAGGGGAGCCTTGTACCATGCATGTCTCCATAGCTTCCAACTGTGTTCATTACATCTGGGGCAGCTGAAGCAATTACACCGTTCATGGCTTGGTCCCAGCTGTGCTTTGGATGCTCCTGAGCTCCCGATCACCCCAAAAAGGGTTACAAGTCTTATGATTTCTTTCTCCCTGGGTCGTCACACCCTCCTCACTCAGGTCTGGGACAGTAGCAGTCCCTCACGCCTGTGATCTCTGCTGTGGTCATGCTGGCATCCTGACTAGGTTTTTGTGGTCCCTCATGTTCTTTCAAGGGGTTCTCTGGGCCCACTTCAGGCTGATTCAAGGCTCCCAGATCTACTTATCAGCCCAGGGATCTCCCTGGAGGGAGGCATCCCTAGATGGGGTCCCAGGACAGGTAACACTACAGGCTGTTGACCTGCTGCTCCTAAGAGCTACGGGCTCTATGGATACTGCATCACGACGGATGCTGAGGCTGCTTTTTCCTTCTTTTTTAAAAAAAGATTTATTTATTTATTATTTATTTATTTTGAATGCAGTAAAATATCTGCATGTATGCCTGCAGGCCGGAAGAGGGTGCCAGATCTCATTACAGATGGTTGTGAGCCACCACATGGTTGCTAGGAATCAACCTCTGGAAAAGCAGTCAGTGCTCTTAGCCTCTGAACCATCTCTCCAGCCCCAGAGCTGAGATTTCTAAAGGCTTGTTCCAGAAGACCAAGAACCCAGCACAAGCCAATGCTGAGCCAAGTCAGCCCAACACTTGGTGACCCTAGCAAGACCATGGGAAGGACCTCCAGCACCCTGGTCAGAGGCGATGAGCTGAGGCCAGAAGCACAGAGATTGTGGGAGGGTGGTGACCTACAGCAGAGCACACAGGAGCAGCTGTACCTTACCCTACCCTGCAAGCCAGGCTTCCCAGCTCCCACCTAAGTCTAGGTCCACAGGGCGCTTGCTCTTCCTGAGGCTTACACTCTGCTCTGCCTGCCCAGAGCCATTGTCCAGCTTCCTGGCATGGCTTGAAAGGTTGTAACTGGCTCAACTGCTCCCCTCACCCCACTTCTCTCCTGTGGCTACTCAGCAGGTGACTTCTCTGTAGTTCTCCCAAGGCCTGCAAGTGACATCTCTGTCACTGCTGCTGTTTTTATCTTACTCTCCCTGTCTTGTTCTTGCCTCCCGCCCCACCCCCACCCTGCCCCGGCTCCTTTCCTTGTTTTATTTTTTATTCCCCTCTCGGGCTCTGGCCCTCTCTTCTCTTTCCCTCCCCATATCCCCTGCTGTTTCTCCCCAATATCTCTGGGTCACCTCCCAGATGTTAGGGGGGTTGGATCAGAGGACTCCTGATGTAGGAGTCTCACTCAGGGTAAGGGATGGGGGAGTGTGTCAGACATCCCTGGCATGACCTTGGTCCTAGCGCCTCTCCCGTGACCTTTTTTGGCCTTGTTCCTTGGTGCTCATCAGCATGCAACAAGGAGAGCGGCTGTCCCCAGTCCCCTAGTGCCAAGAGCCCAATCTCATGTCTAGCAGCTTGGTCTCAGCTTCAGTCAGAATCAGTCCATAAGGATTTGGTGCTTCTGTCCACAGCTGGGCCCTACACATCTGCTTTCTTCAATCCCGCCCTGGCTGCCTCTGTCACATTCCACTGCTCTGGGAACACCTTGCTGGAGTATGCGCATGTGTATTGCCTTGGTCCTATGGCGGGTGAGTAGTGGAGGTGAGGTTGGCCTAGGTGGTGTCCATGGGCAGACACAGACACACAGGGCATTGCCTGCTACAGATTCATGATGCTGCCACCCTTCCTGGCTCCCTGGGACCTTAGGTGTTGGGGCAACAAGAGTTTGAGCTCAGTTCTCCTTCCTTGTGTCTGCAGTGTGGGCAGCTGGAGGAAGTGACTAAGATGGCTATGTCTCGGTTTGGACTGTCACAGAGGAGAGGGGACGGAGTAGAGTGGAAAGTGGGATGTGGAGAATCGGACCCTCTGAAACTCGGTGTGGGCAGCAGGGACAGGCTGCACAAGTTCACTTGTGACTGGGATTCCCTCCTCCCCAGGACATCTTCACATACCTACTTAAAGCTGTCCTGGGTTCTGCTGCCACAGGATCTCTGGGGCACAGAGGTCATGCTTGGGTGATCCCATGTCTTTCAGGGCTGCAGCCCTGGGTGGTCAGGGCCTGTAGCTCCCGGTGGGTCTGCCCTGTGACTCCTTGAAGCACAAAGTGAACCCCCTCCAGTCATCCAAGTTCTGAAAGAGGAAGAGCAGTGTAAGTCCTTGGGCTAGAGTAACCCGGGGAAGGCGACCAGATGTCTCTGTCTCTCGCTACAGGATCTGGGGAATTCCTCTCTGGCCCTGGGCCCAGGGACTAGGTCTCCCCACACTGTCCATGGCTTTACCAGATGACTGAGGCCCACTGGAACCTTGGAAACCTTCCACTCCTTTCAGGGTCCACACTTGGCAGGACTCAGAGTAGAGCCTCAACCCGAAGGGAACAGGAACAGGAGTCCCAGCTCTTCCCACGAACACAACCGTGGGATGATGAGGACTGAGATACGGGCTTATCACCTGTAACCTGGTTTCTTTCTTTCTTTTTTTTTTTAAACTTTATTTAACTTTATTTCATGCACATTGGTATAACGATGTCAGATTCTCTGGAACTGGAGTTACAGACAGCTGCGAGCTGCCATGTGGGTGCTGGGAATTGAACCTGGGTCCTCTGGAGGAGCAGTCACTGCTCTTAACCACTGAGCCATCTCACCAGCCCTGTAACCTGGTTTCTTGTAAGGTGACTGTGGACTGCTTCCAATTTATGTCCTTGTCCTCAAATACACACTACAGGGCTCCTCTATGACTTTTCAGCTTTAACTAGTGTGTAGGTGTGTGTGCATGTGTATACATGTGTTCATGTATGTGAACACACATGTGTGCATTGTGTGCTGTGTACACGTGTTCGTTCGTGCATGCGAACACACGTGTGTACATGTGTTCACGGATGTGAATGCATGTGTGCGTGTGCGTGTACATGTGTTCATGTATGTGATCCTGCGTGTGAGCGTGCATGTGCATGTGTTCATATACATGAGTACGCATGTGTGTTCATGTATGTGAGTACACATTTGGGTGCATGTGCACATGGAAGCCAGAGGTCAACCTTGAATGTCATTCCTTTGTTGTTGTTTTTGTTTTTGAGAGAGAGCTCTCTGATTAGGATAGACTGGCTGGCCAGCAAGCCCCAGGGATCTTATCTCTTCCTCCCCAGTGCTGGGTTTACAAGCATGTACCACTACATCTTGCTTTTTTGGAGAGGGTGAGCTTGGGTCTCTCCATGAAGCCCTGGCTGTTCTGGAGCTCTTTATGTAGATCATGTTGGCCTCAAACTCATAGAGGTCCTCCACCTGCCTCTGTCTCCTGAGTGTTGTGACTAAAGGTGTGTGCTATACCTGGCTTTTTTTTTTTACATATATACATAGGTGCTGGAGACCAAACAGGCCCTCGTACTTTTAAGACAAGCACCTTATAGGCCAAGCCATCTCTTCAACCCTAAGGTTTCAGTTTTTAACATAACTTGGGTAGGCTGCCTCCATGTTCATCCCCCACGATGTGGGGGTCACTTCTGGTCAGCTTGGCCTCAGACTTTGAGCCTCCTGCCTGGCGCAACAGAATGACAGGCATGTGCCACCATGCCTAGCTCCAGTCACCATCTTCATCTAGAAGTCGCCAACACGAAAACAAAAATTTACAAAGTTTAGTTAGAATTCAACGTTGAGGAGCTGGAGCAGTGGCTCTGTGCCATAAAATGTTTTTGTTGAACACATGAGGAACTGAGATCAAGTCACCACATTCTTCATATGGCTGGGATGTAGAAATACATACACACACACACACACAAACACACACACACATATAATACACACACACACAGGGGGAAGCGGGAGAGAGAGAGACAGAGAGTCACCGTTAAGAACTAAGGTGAGTTGGCTTTATTCTCAGCATTCAGGAGGTAGAGGCAAGTAGATCTCCATGAGTTCGAAGCTAGCCTGGTCTACAGAGCAAGTTCTAGGACAGCCAGTGCTACACAGAGAAACCCTGTCTCGAAAAAAACAAAACAGAACAAACAAAAACAAAACAAGACACCTCCACCTGCCCCAAAAAAGAACAGGGCAGTTAGACATTAGGCGAAGCTCAGGGAGTCCTACTGAAGAAGAGGAAGGATTGTAGGAACCAGAGGTGTCAAGGACACCATAAACAAACAAACAAAACCCCACAGAATCGATTCTGGCTCTTAGGGGCTCACAGAGTCTGGACTGACAACCAGGGAGCCTAAATGATACTGACCTAGGCCCTCTGCATCTTTGTTACAATCCTGTAGCTTGGTCCACTTGTGGGACTCCTAACAGTCAGGGGAGGGGCTATCTCTGACTCTTTTGCCGGCTTTGGAGACCCTCTTTCTCCTCCTGTGTCCTCGCCCAGCCTTCATTTAAGAAAAGGAGCTTTCTCTTACTGCAGCTTGATATGCCGTGTTTTGATGGTATCCATGAGAGATCTGCTCTTTTCTGAGTAGAAACGGAGGAGTGGATGGGGGAGGGGCAGGGGGGGAGGTGGGAGTGAGGTCTCTCCTCCTTTCCTAGTTGGCTGGTCCCTCTTGCTCCCTAGTCCTTCCCAGGCCAGACCTAACCTGTTTTAGAACTACCATTGCTGTGATGAAACACCATGACCAAAGCACCTTGGGGAGGAAAGGGTTTATTTGGCTTACACTTCCATATCACCTGCTTCAGAGTGACAGACACTTCGGAGAGCTGCAGGAGACAGAAAGTCTTTCTCAGCTGGACCTCCGGGCGATGGGGCTGGCCTGGGTCTTACTTTCTGTTTTATGTGCCCTCCTTCCCTCCCGCTTTTCCCAGCTCAAGGTGCCGCTCATCATCAAGGAATGTCAGGGCAGGAACTTGTGAGGAGGGAGAGGAATCCACCCTTGGGATATAAAATAAAGAAATGAATGAATAAATCAATAAGAAAAGAAAGAAGATTTGAGAGAGAGGAGGGGGGGCAGTTGTGAGGCAGCGCCCCCTGGTGGGGAAGATTAGGAAGCCATTGGAAGCTGGTCCTGCTGCCCGGGAGTCTCAGAGCAGGGGCTGTCTCTGCTTCTGGAGCAGCACCACACCTGCTTCAGGGGATGACCAAGGTCAGCAGCCGAGAGTGGGCAAGGCAGGTGATGGCCGTAGGAACCTATCTCTGATGGGAACTGAAGCAGATGACATGCGTGGGACCAAGGGAGTTCCTAGTGGAACTTGTGAACACTACACAAGTTCAATACTTAAACAGAAAAATCAGACCGCTCCTCCTTCCCTGGCTAGCTGGTTCCTCTGAGTCCCTGGAGGTGGTGGGGACTGAGGATACCAGAAGAAAACAGAGATTGAGCCAGCTCCCCACTCCCTAGTCCCTCCCAGATGGGGTCTAGCCCTTCTCCCCCCCTCCCCCCCCCCCCCCGTTTTAGGATTATCATTGCTGTGACAAACACCATGACCAAAGCAAGTTGGGGAGGAAAGTGGTCAGTCAGCTTACATTTCCACAGCACTGTTCACCATCGAAGGGAGTCACTACAGGAGCTCAAACAGGACAGGAACCTGGAGGCAGGAGCTGACACAGAAGCCATGGAGGGGGTGCAGTTACTGATTTGTTCCCTCTGGCTTGTTCAAGCCTGCTCTCTTAAAAAAAAGCCAGGACCACCAGCCCACAGATGGCACCAGCCACAGTTTGGGCTGGGCCCTCTTCCATTAAGAAAATGCAATGCCCTATAGTTTTACCTACAGCCCACTCTTACGGAGGCTTTTAAAAAAAGGTTTCTCTGTGTACTTCTGGCTGTCCTGGAACATGCTCTGTAGAACAGGCTGGCTCAGAACTCACAGAGATTCATTTGCCTCTGCCTCCCAAGTGCTGGGCTTAAAGGTGTGCACTACCACCACCAGGTGGAGGCATTTTCTTAACTGAGGTTTCCTCCTCTAGGTNTAATTTAAATTAAAAAAAAAAAAAAAAAAAAAAAAAAAAAAAAAAAAAAAAAAAAAAAACCTATCAGCATACCCTCCCCCCAAACTTCTGCTAACTGAAAGCAGCCCGCCTGCTTCGCCACCCTTAGAGGCAACCTGAAAGAGAGGCTGTAGGAGGGCACTGAAAACTGGTGTGGGACATTTGCGTGGGACACCCTGAATCCTGAGTCCCCAGAGCATAATCTAGAAGCATCCCAACCTCCCATGTGTGCTCCAAAAGATCTAGGCAGCTTGTTCTCGGCACTAAGGGGCAAGACCCAGAGGAAGGATGTGGCCAGATCCCAGATAGAGCCTTGCAGGGAGGGCCTGGGCTCTTCTGTTGGGACTCTTTTACAATCTGACCCCATCTCTTGCAGGTATGATCCTGGCTGTCCTACTCCATCAGGGCCACCTTCCCCGCTTTTTCCAGAGAAATCTCTTCTATCGGCAGAAAAGCAAGTACCGAACTCCCAGAGGGAAGCTGTCCCCAGGTTCTGCTGCTACCCAGGCGCCCACAAAGGAGTATAGTGGCAAAAAGCTGTAGACACTGCGGTCCAGCTGAGCTGTCTTGCTCACAAGGTTTCAGTCACCTCATGAGACTTTTGGGGCTCCCCTCCATGAATCCATTTGCCAATAAACCATGTCTGTGACCCACCTGACTCCCTGGCCTGACGGAAGCTTCTGGAAGGACAGGTGAGGGTGAGTCCTTTTTACCTATGACACATTATTTCCTGATTTATGTTTACAGAGTGATAATAAAAAATTAAGGTTACAAAGACTGGCAAAAGGCCCAGGGTGAGCTAACCTGGGCCTGGCTACCTGGTACATGCCTGGGAGCCCACAGTCAAAAGAGGTCTAAGACTTTCTGGGGACCCCAAGGACAACCGTGGAACCTGCAGTGGAGATCAGTGGATATATTTCAGGGGTCCGGGCCCAGAGCAAGGAACCTAATGCTGCTATCTCTCACATTTCCTACCCTTAGGACACTGGCCCTTTATCCCCCAAAGCTAGGCCAACCCTTCTCCCAGGAGTTCCTGGGTCAGTTGCTCTGTGGTGGGGTAGGACCAGAGGACAAAGCAAGGGTTTAGTCCAGGTTTCCTGGATACTGGTGAGGCCACAACAAGGAGAAGATCCTTCCAGACCCTTCCATGCCTGCCCCTTCACCTTCTCTAAGGCTCTTCTACATACCCATTCTGGCAGAGGTCCCTGTCCGGAACACCTAGCCTCCTTCCCTTTGTTGGCGCGACCAACCTGGGAATGAGTGACAAGGACCCCAGTTCCCTGATTGCTCCTGGAAGGGGTTGGAGAGCCAGCTCTGTGTGGCCTGACTTTGATGGTGAGGACGCAGAGGTGGTGATGTGGGGGCAGTGTGTGTGCAATGGATGGTGATAAGGGCCGTGTGCCTACCAGCACCCTGCAGTACTTTATAGCTGCATCAGGCCTGGGGGTGGCGTCATAGTTGCCGCACCCAAGGCGGCATCCCAGGAACAGAGACAGCTCCTTGTGGCCACACTGAACCCAGGGAGGCTGGCAGCCTGGGGGCTTCATGGCCTGCACAGACAGCTGGGACAGAAATCCTGCTGGGATTGAAGTGTCAGGGTCACGGTCTTTTGACACAATGTGGCAGAACTTGGTCCAGATGTGGAAAGGGAAAAAAATAATACATTATATATAAGGTGGCTGTACGGGGTGATGTACATGGGGGATGTAAGAGCCACGCGTGTCTGTGCCGTGGTGGTGAGATGACAGCTGGGAGCTATTCTAGAAGCTGTGCAAGTGCTGTGCGCATACGCATGTACAAACGTGTGTACACATCCACATACATGGGGTAGAGGAGTGGATAGCCACACACAGTTTTTGATAGGAATTAATCCCAGAGTATGTTCCCAGTCTTTGGTGTTTGCTGCACCACTGTTTCCAGTGCTTTTGAAAACTGACCGTTTTCACTATGGTATGTCTATGAAGCAATACATCGAGAAGTCTCTAAAACTCCATGAGTTAAGATTTGCTGACAAAATAAAATGCAGTGTTTTTATGAAAAATAAATCTATTTCTAGCAAAAAAAAAATGCACACTTGTTTATCAGAATAGTTTCACTTTTGGTTTGGAAAAGGCAGAACAACACTGATTTCCTCTGTATGGAAGAGGTAAGGGATGCAGGCAGAGAGGCAGCCTGCCGGGTCTATGCTGGAAGAAGCTGAGTGGCCATGGACAATCTCCTCAGGAAGTACACCCGGCTGTCTGTGGGGAATTCCAACCTCAGAGCCTTCTGCAGAACTGTCTGTGGGGACAGTCCAACCTCAGTGCCTTCTGCAGAACTGTGAAATTAGGACCTGAGCTTGGGAAGTGGCTTTTTTCCGGCTGGGAGGTGCTCAGCCTGTGTGGTCCTCTATCCCAGTGGGTGCAGTCTGCAGGGTCTCTCCCCTTCTAGGAGCTGAGTCAGACCTTTCAACATCTGATGGACGGGACCGGGAGGCAGGTCACAGCCTCTCTGCTGTGTTTGGTGGGTTTTTGTTGTTTGCATTTTTTCCCCACGAAGCTGCCATTACTCATATTTTGAAAACTGCCCTAAACAAATTTACATTATTGCTTCATTCTTTTAAAATGAAAGGTGTGTGGGTGGGGGCTGGAGAGATGGCTCAGTGGTTAAGAGCACTGGCTGCTCTTCCAGAGGACCTGAGTTCAATTCCCAGCAACCACATCTATAATGAGATCTGGTGCCCTCTTCTGGCCTGCAGGCACACATGGAAGGAATGTTGTATACATAATAAATAAATAGTTTAAAAAAATAGAATGAAATGAAAAGAGGAACATGAGCCAAGGCAGGAAATCGAAGACTGGCAGAGTCAAAGCAGCTTCACTGTGGCTCGGGACGCGGAGAAGGTGAGGTCACATTTTCAGAGGGCTTAGCCTAGGGCTGGACATACCAGCAAGTCTGGTAGAAGCTTTTTGGAAAAAAAAAATAAAAATGTCAAATTTAAAAGTGAATGTGCATTTCAGTTGTAAAGACAAACCTGTGTCATTTCTGCCCATCCCTGACTCCATTTTAGGCACCCACAGATGCTAAGTGACTACCAACAGATTCTGGAATACCTAGGCATGGAAACATGAGTCAGGTCAGAGCCCCCTGGCTCTGGCAGCTGGTAACACCTTCTGTGTGGTTGTCTTCCAGAGTCTAGAGCCACTGGTCTCCTGGGTGGTAGCCTGTGGGTCTTCTTCCTCCTCCTGGGCCACAGTCCCTCCTGACTAGGCAATCCCCCAGCCCATGATGGCTCCTCAATGCAGGCCCCTGGTGGGCAGCCCTCTCCGGCCTTGTTTCTCTAACCCAGGGCATCGATTCTTGTTTCTCTAACCCAGGCATCTGGCATCAGATACTCATCCTAAATCAGAGGGAGGCCACTGTCAGTCCTGAGTGTAAGGTCATCTTCCTTGTGCCCTGCACGAGTCTAGACTAAAACTTTCATAGCCTTTAGGACACTTGGGGCAGAAGAGCCTGGGATTACCACTCCCAAGCCCCAAGCTACTCAGGCCAACTCAACCAACCAAAAGGGTTTCCCTGTCTGCCCCTGCTGGGCCCTTTGCCTTCCACAGCCCATGTTCTGCTATGCCAGAGCCTGCTTTGGCTGAAGAGAGCCTGGTCCCCCGAAGCCGGTTCCCAAGAGGGTCCTGCCACCCATCCTAAGGAGGAGGACCCTGTGCTAAGACCCTGAGATGACTCCAGACCCAAGCTGGCCCTACTCTAAGAAAACACCTGTTACTCTTGATGCCTGGTGGCCTCAAAGCTAGCCCTGCTCAGTCTGGAGCAACCCAGTTACAAGCTTTCCAGAGCCTGAGTGTCTCAGGGCCATGTTGCATCTCTGGGAATCTTGACCCCCAACTTTGGAGCACCTGGTAGGGATCCAGTCTCATTACACTGGGACACGCACAGGCTGGCCAAGCCAAATGAACTCAGGGCTAGATTATAACACGATAATCTAGCTTGGGAAGATGAAGAACGGCTAGCCCATGCCCTCTGATGTCTTCTTGGTCTCCACAGACCGCAAGCCTAGAGCCTACCAGGCCTGAGACCCAAGGCTTGCACTGAGGCAACTGCTTCTCAGGCTGGGGCAATACCATCTGCAGCCAGGGGGTGACACCACAGGAGACTCCAGGGCACATCTCTGCTCCCCAGCGTCCCAGCCAACCTGGTGACCTTTGGAGGTAGCCAGTTAACACTTGGCAGCCATATAGATTCATCCTCCCATGACAAATGGAAGCAAGGCTGTTTTTCCTCTCAAAGGGCTAAATAAGACAGAACTCCACTTTTAAAAAAAATGTAAAGAAGCCACTTGGTAGAAATTCAAACCCCTACAGGGCCAGAATTTCTTGAAAGCAAAATATATGATAAGTTTCATTTCTTCCCAGAAGTTGTGCACTTCGGTATTAGCCAATCACCTAAGAATGTGATTGGCTCCTTTCTTTCCTTTCTTATACTTCCGTGAATCACCAGTGTGGTGGGGACTCCAAAGTCCCAGCCCACTGAAAGATCAGGACCCCATGAGTGAGTGAGGCTCTCACATCAGGGAAAGTTCCCAGGCCCTGGTCACACCCTGTGGGTCAGAGCCTCTGAGGCATCGCAACCAAAAAGGCTGCTGGAGTGAGTAGCAGCCGCTTAGAGCCTGCTTCACACAGGTAGGGATGCCTGGAATATGTTCAGTCAGTCCTGAAGGAGGCAGACGGGCTCAGAGCTAGCACCCTCTTCACCCCTCACCCCTCAAAGCCTCTGCCTCTCTGGCATCCAAGGAGCCGCCTCCTCCATTCCTTGCCCCCAGGGGGCCGGTACCACCTGTGAGCATGTCCTGGAGTCGCAGCCAACAGACAGAGACAGAAGCGAATGGTTGTGTGTTGCATGAGAGCCACGTTTATTTCTTAATTGGACAGAGCCCTAAGAGCACACAAACAGTACAAGAGCCTACAGCTAACACTCAGGTATAAACAGCAGGATACTAGTCATTACGTCGGATGGTTACGACACGGGGACCAGGGGGTGCCCACGGCAATCACATATGTACAAGTCGGGGACACAGCCTCTGAGTTGCAGGGGGGCCCTCGGTATAGACAGACTACAGGAGGTCCAGGCTCAAGGAGAGACTCGGGTCAGCCACGGCATCTGTCCATCCTGGGGGACTGCGTGGTTCCAGTTCCACAGGTAAAGGAATGTGTCTCTTGAGGTTCCCACATATCTGTCACATCAGTCACATTCAGTAATCCCAAGACATTCAGGGGTCTCCAGGGACCAGGAGAGATAAGGAGAACAATTTAGTACAGCTGTTGTGTGTGTATGTGTGTGTGCGCGCACACGCGGTTGGCATGATTCCTTAGAGCAGGACAGGAGGCCTTAGATGTGTTATCCAGGCAGCAGCAGGGTCTCATAGGAACTCAGCACAGGGCCGGGTTCTCCCAGGATGCAGAAGCAGCCCAACCTCTCCAGGAAAGATGATTATCCCAAATTAAACTGAGATCACAGCCTGGGTAGCATCGAGTATCAAAACCAAACTGTCTGTG